TATTATTTGATGATTTGCTTGGCTCAATAAAAGTTCGTGAGGAAGGTGAAATGCGACATTGGAACGTGTTGGGTCTTACAATCACGTCAGATATCTAAAAAATGTTTCCTGTATACTAAGCCGATGTACATAATTCTTCAATTAGGTGCCTCAATGCCTATACAATAAATAGTTATTTTCCGTCTTTGTCAGAATTTCATTATTCCCGTTAAAAAGAGGCCAAAAATGTTGATACCTTCGTACTTAGCCTCGCACGCAATTTATGACACCCGTTGGGCAGAGATGGAATAAATGAAAGTGATTTTTGGGCTTAGCAGCTGCTTTTTCGCTTGAATGTGCCTGTAAATATTTGTCATTTCGAGGCAGGAAATTAATCGATTTGATTTGTGATTGGTCACACTGTTGGATGTTAAAAAAGAAAAAAGATGAACCAAATAACATATAGATTTTTTTTTTTTAATGAGATTGCAAAACTTTTTTATATATATATATAATTAAATTTATTGGTGATGATGTGTCGACCCTATTATCGTCGAAGGCCGGCAATGATCTTATTGCTGATGGTATATGTTGACAATATTTTGCAGTCAGATGATTGTGGTCGAGTACCGGTCGTCAGACAATTATGCTCAATTGATGTTGTTTAGGCAACAAATAATAGTCAGACAACAATGGCTGAGCATCAGACAATAAATAGTAGTTAGATGATGTGGCAGTTGAATGATAGTGGTTGAGAAATAATAGTTTGGATACAATAGAGGAACGATTATGGTCGAGCGATGGTAGTTGAGCAATGATTGATAGGTGATCGTGGTCTTCAACGTTGATTGTGAAACAGAGTTCTCTCCAACTCTAGGTCTAAATCCAATTTCAAGCTCCCCCAATTGTAGAATTGGGGCATGTTTATAGATCTTTCTTTATTAGATTTAAATGAGAATTTGACTTTTAACTGGACATAATGGTGAAAAAGAATTCATGTAGCCGACCCCACGTAGTGGGACAAAGACTTGATGTTGTTGTTGGAGTTATGTTTTAGTTATTTTAGCCGAAATTTTCAAACATTTTATCGAATGATGTGTGTTGATCTTCGTGATCATATGCAATTCATTAAGCATTTAAGCATTTTAATGACATTGAAATCTTGAAATCTATGATTTTCTCTCATTGAGATGGTCGATTTAATTATAAGCATGTAAGATTTGGAGATTATGAGATCCCTCAAACTATGCATTGAGCAGTGGCAGATGCACTATGGGGGCCTTGGGAGCACGGCCCCCCATTGAAAATTTAATAATATTTAATAAAGTATTTACAACTCTTTAATGTAGGTAGTTACAAATTTAATTAATGCTTAATTAAGTATTTACGACACTTTCTTAATTAACCCTTCTTTCATGCATGGAGCCTCTCCCGATTCCCAATTCGGCTATTCCCGTTCTTGCCTTCTTTCATGCAAGCACAGAGCACGATCGGCGCAAAAATCATGCGAAGGCGGAGCTTCGGGAGCGAGTTCCATACACTAATGCCGGTCCCTAGCCCGGATGGAAAAGATCGAAGGTTTCTTTTACTTCAATGATGTGTTTTCGTTCTCACATGAAAAAAATCCTGGATTTGCCCCTGATGTTGAGTGTTTATTTTAGGAGCATTTGGAGTTATATCAGTGTGTTTTTCTTGTTATTGGATTCGTCTTATCTAAGTACGAGTTTGAACGATCAAAAATTTAATAAAAAAAATTATTCATAAAATTACATCAAAATTTGTGCTTAATTAGACGCATATTTATATGATGTATCAACTAATTTAATTAGTGCCCAAAAGTTTAGATAGAATCAATTGACTTCCATGCATAAAATAGAACTTTGAAAAGTCTGTAGATTTCGGAACTAAGTGAAGAAGAAGCCAAGTTCAAATCAATCTCCTCCTCTCCAACGCAAGACTATTACAAACTCCTATAGATGACTAATACAGCCACCAACAAGAATTTCATACTATCTTACATTTCCTCAATCCTAAACTCTTGTTTGATCACAATAAATTTGGATAATTCATATATTTAATACTATCTTACTTTTTTTTAAATAGAAATTATGTTAAGATATCGTGAGGCAAATGATCTACTAATGGGCTCGAAAATCAATGAATTTACTTTAAGATTAGTGTAAAATATTTTACACTAATATCAAAGTAAATTCAATAATTTTCAAGCCCTTCATATGGTGCAATTTGTGTTAGAATATCTAGGCATAATTATTATTTTTTAATTAAGGATGGTTCAAAAAGGAAATAAAAAATTGCATTAGGATATTCTAGCACGTTTTGCGTAAGAAAGAGATTCGAAGTCCTTGAATTATGCTAGAACTAATTCAACCCTCAAATATTATATGTAAGTTAATCTCAGAGTTTCTAAGCCCAGAGCAAATTCAAATACAATAACGCTAATCCTAATGTTAAATATGTCAGAATATCATGAGAGAATTTTTTTACTGATTGAAGTAAATTTAATATTTTAGAAACTAATTAAAATTTATGCTATACTTATATTAAAATATATGTGAAAAGATTGGTGTAACTCCAGTGACAGATAAGATTAAAGAGAGTCGCCTTAGATGATTTTGTCACGCCTTTTAATGACCAATTTAGGAGAGTAGATGCATTAAGCTCAGCTTATATTAAGAAAGGTAGAGATATACCTAAAAATGCTTGTTTAGAAAGAATTAAAAATGATTTTTTATTAAATTTAAATAAAAATTTGACTCTTGATAAGATATAATAAAGAAAAATGGATTCACGTAGCCGATCTCATGTAGTGCGATAAAGTCTTATTATTATTGTGTTTATTATCGTACTCATCTTTGAAGAGGCGAAACTGTGTACTGCTGAGGGGGGGGGGGGAATTGGGCAAATTTTTTTTGCGGCCAGCCGGCCTTTTTTCAACGCAATTTGTCCCTCCAAAAAGTCAGAAAACATCTTGGCCTCCCGCTATTTTCATCCGATTATGTTAAATATTTCTAACGATAACAAACAATCCCGTGAAAAATGATTATGTGCAAAATAAATTATTTTTGCACCCTTATATATATCTATTTTTATTTCTTCATAAGTTTGCCATTTGTCCCCCCTAAAAACTAAGGTTAGTTCTGTCCCTACATCTTAGATAATTTTAATAACTTCCAATTTAATCTTGACCAAATAATTACTAAAAATATCCCAAGACTATTTTTTTTTTTTGGCCATTTTACCATGTTTAAATAATGAGGTGCCCCATCAAGCAAAATTTCAACTCATCACAATCATTGAGATCACTATATCATTACATGCTTGCCCAGCCATTTTTTCCATTTGCTAACTCTGAAGCATCATTCGCTGCCCAAAATGCCCAAAGTCGTAGGCCAATTCTAAAGCCTTTTATCCGCACGCCCAAAACAAATGAGAGAATGTAAACTTCTATTCAATTTCTTCCATTTCTTTAACATTTCTCGTATTATAAATATATGAAAAGTTTATTAAAATTTATATTATATTCCATCATTTTAAAATTTAGAAGATAGATTTATGTTTATATTTAGATATCTAATACTTAAAATTTATCTTTTTTTTTAATCTACAATTTAATTCTATATAACTAAAAGAAAAATTTACCGCTTTGTTGCCTAACTCTGTCTCCTCTCATTTACTTTTAAGATTTGTTTGGGACGTTATAAAGTTGGTTGTGAGGAAAATGACTTAATTATTCTGATTCGTAAAGTAATTTTTTACTGCAGAAATTTATGAAAAGGAAGTGAGAGAACGACAAGAAAATAGCGGCTAAATGAAATTATGATGGTTGTCTGAAAAATAAAGAAGGGAGAAAACATTTCCGAGCAAACCCTTAGCCACACAACTCTTTTATAGAAAGTCCTACAACAACAACATACTCGTCGCCACCTTCTCTCATGATGAGACAACACCCCTCACTCTCCTAGCAGCAGCTCACTACCGACTTCTCTCATGATGAGCTCAAGCATGACCATTAATATGAGGAGGCAGAGGCAGAGGCAGAGACATTAGAAATTATTTTGTGCGGGCGCCGGATGTAGCTTTGTGTTTAGAGACGAATCAGAGCACGCAACGCACCCAGTAACATCGGGTACGCAATCACGATACACATCAAGAAGATGACGTGATATGTTCTGATTTATCTCCGGATAATATCCAGGGTCGAGAGACAGAGGCAGATAATACTGAAGTCTTTATTTTATTATACCTAAAAACTGTTAGTTTAATAAATAATAAACTTTAAATGTCGGATATATAAGTAAATATGCGCATATTAATCGAAATATTGGAAGCAAAACCAAGAGGCACTAAAGCAAGGTCCGAGTAGCCTTATGAGGGAACAATTATTACGTCCTCCGACCGGACGTAGAGGAACGTCCGGTCGGAGGCAAATTCCTATCAAATACCGAGTTGTACCGAGTAAACACCGAGCAATATCAAATAATAACGAGGAATAACATCATGTGAAGACCCAATACCGAGTTTTTTTGAGCTATCTTGAGCAATACCGAGTTATACAAAAGTTGTACCGAGTTTTTCCTAGAAAAAACTCGGTACAACTCGGTATTTCTCGATATAGCTCGGTATAACTCGGTATTGGTCTTCAAGGAGCGGTATTCATCGTTATTATCAAATAATACCTAGTTGTACCGAGAAAATACCGAATTTTTTGGCGAAAATTTAGCTCCGACCGGACGTTCCTCTACGTCCTTGCACCGGATGTAATAAAAGTTCCTTATGAGGATCAGCGGCGTAACGGCGAGGAATTGCAAAGACCGGGTCCACCATCCGCCAACGTACACCGAAAAAACAGTGAGCCCCCACGGTGGACCCGCGAGCCCGCGGCTCGCTCCCGCTCCCGCCTCTATCCCCAAATCTGTCCTTCCTCTCCCCGATTCGTGGCGCGTCCATGCCGCACCGACGCGTATTATAGCGTGGTCCCCTCTCCAAAAATGGCAAAAAAACCCTTAGTGCTCTCTCTCTCTTCCTCCATGAGCTCTCCTCCCCCTCCTCGATTTTCTTTCCATTTTTTTTTTCTTTTGATTCTTGACTGATAAATAAACATCGCAGAGGCTGCAGACAAGTCTATTCCCAATCCGAGCTGCTTCCTTCTTCTTCTTTCTTCTTCCTCTTCTTCTTCTTCTTCGTCGTCTTCGTTCGTTTCTCGCTGTTCTACTGTGAGGGGAGAGGTAAGTTTCTTTGCAGGGGTTTAATACCCTCCTTTTAACTCCAATATTCCGTTTTCTTTGCTTTGATGCTTTGATGCCCCTTCGTTTCTCCGTTCCATGGTTGATTCCTCCCCTTTTCCTATCCATAAATACTTAGCGTCACACTATTTCTCTGTCTTTCTATATTCTCTCTCTTGCTTTCTTGCTCTCTGTATATTTATTCCATTTAAATACGCATCTATCCGCTGGCCACATGCGTGCATAGTGAGTTATGCTGGGTGTCACAGATCAGGGTCATCCGCTGTTCCATTTCTTCTGTGAGGGTTTCGTGGAACCCTATCCAGGTTTGAGATTTTACTTCGAGATGGGATTTTGATTGTGGGGTTCCTTTGGTTTTATGTTTTCTTGGGTCTCCTCCAGTGTTGTTCTTTCGGTGTCGTGGAGGAAGAGCTGGTCCTTTTTCTTGACTTTTTTTTTGGAGCAAACACTGTAATGGCCGGAATTGATCCGTTGAAGTACGCCCACAGTCCTGTCCACAAGGCAGTGCTTGCTCGGGATTATTCCGGACTGAAGCGTATATTGGCGAGTCTTCCGAGGTTACTTGACCCCTTGGAGATCAAAACGGAGGCAGCTTCACTTGCTGAGGAGGAGAAAGCTGATGCGGTCTCTGCTGTGATTGACAACCGTGATGTCCCTAACAGGGAGACTCCTCTGCACCTTGCCGTTAAGCTGGGAGATGCCACTGCGACGGAGATGCTCATGGTTGCCGGTGCCGACTGGAGCTTGCAGAATGAGCAGGGATGGAGTGCTCTTCAGGAAGCAATTTGTGCTCGGGAGGAGAACCTTGCCAAGATCATCATCAGACACTATCAGCCTCTTGCTTGGGCCAAGTGGTGCAGGAGGCTTCCACGGGTTGTCAGTACTATGAAGAGGATGAGGGATTTCTACATGGAGATCACGTTCCATTTTGAGAGCTCGGTGATCCCATTCATTTCTAGAATTGCTCCTTCTGATACTTACAAGATTTGGAAGAGAGGGTCCAATTTGCGCGCAGATATGACTCTTGCGGGGTTTGATGGCTTCAGAATACAGAGGTCGGATCAGAGCATATTGTTTCTTGGCGATGGATCAGAAGATGGGAAGGTGCCGCCAGGGTCACTTTGCATGATTTCTCACAAGGAGAAGGAAGTGATGAATGCTTTGGAGGGAGCGGGTTCTCCTGCTACTGAGGCAGAGGTCCAGCAAGAGGTTGTAGCAATGTCCCAAACAAATATTTTCCGTCCAGGAATTGATGTAACGCAAGCAGTGTTGCTTCCCCAGCTCACATGGAGGAGGCAGGAGAAGACCGAGATGGTTGGCCCATGGAAAGCCAAGGTGTATGATATGCATAATGTGGTTGTGAGTGTGAAGTCCCGGCGGGTCCCCGGTGCCATGACTGATGAGGAGTTCTTCACTTCTTGTAATGAAAATGACACCGAGAGTGAAGATTATGAGGATATTTTAACAGAAGAAGAAAGGAAGCAGTTGGAAACTGCACTTAAAATTGAATCACCAAGTGTGATAGATGATGGTTTTTCTGATGGGTTTTCTGGGCACAGGCACAGCTGCTTTGAACAAAGAGAGATTCCAATTGAGGATATAAGTAGTTGCGGTAATGGTGACAAAATTGAAAAGAAAGGTTGGCTTGGTAATTGGGGAAAACGGAGTCATTATCAAAAGCAAGACGAGCAGAAGAAGATTGTTCCACCGAGAAGCTCCCTTTGTGTAGATGAGAAAGTTAATTCTCTTCTTCATGATTCTCCATCCAGGCAAGAGAGCAGGCCAGGAAGGCATTCAGTAGAGGTTGCCAGTATGGGTGAGGATATCAAGAAAGGTAGGGATAAAGATTCAAAAAAACCTGCTTCAAGTTCAGAGAGTGGACATTGGCGAAAGGAAAGTAGTCGGGAGAGTGAGTATAAGAAAGGCTTGAGGCCCATTCTCTGGCTTTCTCCGAGCTTTCCACTTCGGTCGGAGGAGCTTCTCCCTCTTCTTGATATTCTTGCAAACAAAGTTAAGGCTATTCGCCGCCTCAGGGACTTGCTTACAACAAAGCTCCCTCCTGGGACATTTCCGGTGAAGGTATGAAAGATCTGACTGTTCTTGTCTTCTTATTTCTCTTTTGCTCTTTGACTTTTGCAAAGTACATATTCGTTGGCCATGCTTACTATTGAAATCATAGAAACCTGGTCTTTTGTTTTGTGATTTACATCTTTTGAAGAAATGCAGGCAACAATCTTTCAACGAAACTAGTGATATTCTTTAAATGAATTAAAGAAATATGTAACCGGTTTATAGAAGCTGCTCATGGCCTTACTTTTTTAAGGTTTGTGTGGTTAATCACCATTAATTGTATTTTTGTTGGCCTACTTTGACTAATCTTCCTTTCCATTTTGTACTAACATTGTTTCCTAGTTATGCTAGTCGGGTAATTAATTCATCATGTTATACATATGTGATATTGATGATGATACTTGTTTTTGGGAAAATGACCCATTTTCATCTTCCTTTAATGCTGTCTCCTACAATGTTAACTTTAGCTCCTGTGTGGGATATGGATTGTCAGTACCTTCTTCCTACTACTAGTTTGGAGAGCAGGAAATATAACCTGGTCACAGATTTTGAGAATATAGCCAAACTAATGTTCAAATAGAATGAAAATTCAATAAATGCATTAGTGGATGCTTTTAACTGTCCTGATAATATTTGTGAAGAAACCAAGATTGTAAGAGAGAAGCAAAATAGTCATGAACTCTTTCAAAGCATATTTTCTTCCTTCGCTTGTTGCCTTTGCTTGCAAAAGATTAACAAGTGGGCTATTTAACTTCTTTTGCTGCTTATTAATTTATTATTGTACAACTTCTAGGTTGTGCAAATTGGATGTTTTTCTATGATGCATTGACACTTCTCCCTCAACGAGTCGTGCAGTATCTGAAACGTATCCAACATGACAAGTGTTCGATGCGCCTCGACATTTGTTGGACACGTTGAAAATGTGTCCGATTAAAATAATATTGAATACAAATTGGACATGCATGTCTGACACGCGCCTTAAATATTTTGTAAATTTTTTTAAAATAGAATTTCTTGTATTTAAAACTTTTATTTATTTAAAATATAAAACTAAATTTCTTATTTCCTATCCACAACAAAACAATTGCCCGCACTCAATACACCATTCATCGAATATTCTCATTTTTATCTTTCTTTGGTTTGTCGTGATTTTGGTTTCATAACAATGCTCGATGTCATTTCAACATTGATGTCTGACGTTGTTACAACATTGATATTTCAAAATCATCTCAATATCAAAGTCTGAAAGTGTCTTGACATTGATGCTCAACACTAGCAATTTCTACACCCATAACATGAGAGCTCATCTTTGTTGCCGTCTTAACATCGACGACCAATGCCCTCTCAACATTGATGATTGATGCCCTTTTGACATCGATGTCCAACTCTCAGTAGCATCGTCGTCTCCTCTCTCGATGTCTGATGCCCAATATTGATGCTCGACTCTCAACATCTTAATATTAATCATTTTAAGCATAAATTCTAGTTAAATGATCTATTATTTTTAAATTATTTTTAATATTACACTTATTCATATTTTATATACCATTTTTAAAAATATAAAATTATAATATCGTGTCCAACCACATTTGTCCTATATTTTCAATAATTGTTGTGTCTCGTGCCCGTGTCATATCATAGCCGTGTCACCGTGTTCGTGTTTGTGCATTATAGATATTTTTTCAAAAGCACTGCTCTGATGTATTTGTGAAAAGCTAAGACTTATGTATCAAATATCATTTATTAGTTTTGGACTTCATGATGAATGGGTGAAATAAGAAAAATAAAATAAAATGTTGTCCGAAGATTAGCTGGAGCATTTAAATAATATTAATAAAAATATTTTTGAGATTAAGATTCAAGATCTTAAGATTTTGATTGTGCATGAAAAAATTAATGTTATGTAAGAAAAAAATAGCTGGTGATATTAAGAATGTTGCAAATGATACATTTGAGTATCAAAATGAAAATGTTATAATTGTAAAAATAGTTGGTGGTGGAATTAAAATTTGCAAGAAATGATAAAAAATAAGAAGCTTTGTTATAAAAGATGGCTTTGATGTAAAAATTTGGAAATTTGGAAAAGGTGTAAAGGGGCCATAAGGAGTCTAGGAAAGCAATATGCGATGCAAAGAATTTATCTTTTAATAGTTTATATAATAGATTGGATACTAACTTCGGCAGAAGATGTATGTATAATTTAATCAAGCAAAGGGATGATAAAAGTAAGGATTTAGTTTAAGTGAAGTATATTAAGGATGAAAATCAAAATGTGTGTTTTTTTTGTTAGAAAAGGATATTCAACAAAGGTGGATGAGATATTTCAATTAGATTTTCAACAAAGATTGCGAGAACACGATTGATTTTAGTGACCTTAGACCCTAAAAAAAGGGATTTTTATTTTTATCATCTTATTAGTAAAATTAAAGTTAGACCTGGTGATTTCTAAGAGAGGTGTGAAAGTATTTAGGAGATGAAAGGAATTTATTGGCTTACTAAATTTTTCAATATTATTTTGAAGACTAAAAAGATGTCATATGAGTAGAGGAGTATGTTGATTCCTATTTTTAAGTATAAAGGTGATGCACACGAGTGTGTGAATTATAAAGGAATTAAGTTAATGTGTCATATATAAATCTATGGGAGAGAGTTATTGAGCATAGTTACAACATGTTATTAATGTTTCTCAAAATCAATTTAGACTTATGTTGTATAGGTCTATTATGGAAGCTATACATTTATTGAGAGGCTTGATGGAGAAGTATAAAAAGAATATGGAGGATCTACTTGTGATATTTATTAATTTAGAGAAAGCATATGATAAAGTGCCAAGAGAGGTGCTCTAGAGAGTTTTAGAAAATAAAGAAGTTTATAATGTTTATATTCAAGTCAATAAGGATATATATGTAGGAGCTATTATTTGTGATTAAACATAAGCTGGTTTGGCCAGGTGTTTTCTTATTTCAGTTGGATTACATCAAGGATCAACCTTAAGCCCATATCTTTTTTTTTTGCTTTGTTCATGGATGTTCTTATTAGACATTTGCAAGATTCTCCTTGGTGTATGATTTTTGCTGACGATATTCTTCTTATTGATAAGACTAGAGAGGAGAGTGTTGAAGGAAAACTTGAATTATGGAGGTCAACTTTAGAGTCTAAAGGATTTTGTTTGAGTAGATCTAAAACTTAATACATTGAGTATAATTTTAGTAGTAATAAATCTAGTGGGGGGATTGTGACTTTGGGTGATCGAGTTATTAATCAGAGTACACGTTTTAGATATCTCGGGTTTATTGTTCAAAGTGATGTTGAAATTGACGGGGATATTATTAGTAGAATTCAAGTTGGATGGTTGAAGAGCATCAGACTAGTTGTGTGACAGGAAAGTACCCCTCAAACTTAAGGAAAAATTTTGTAAGATGGTGGTGAGACCTTCAATGTTTTATGGCGCAGAATGTTTCCATTAAAAGAGAAGCATGAGATTAAATCAAGTGTTACAGAGATGAGGATGCTTAGGTGGATGAGTGGCTTCACTCTTAGAGACAAAATCCAAAATGAGTATATACGTGAAAAGGTTGGAGTACCTCCAGTGGCAGATAATATTCGAGAGAGTCACCTAATATGGTTTGGATGCATAAACCATCAGCCTCTGATGATCTGGTTAAATAGTAGATGCATTAAATTTGACTTATGTTAAGAAAGGTAGATATAGGCCTAAAAAGATTAGGTTAGAAAATATCATAAATAGCTTTTTTATTAGATTTAAATGAGAATTAGACTCTTAATAGGATATAATGGAGAAAAAATGATTTATGTAGCCGACCCCACGTAGTGGGATAAAGGCTTGATGTTGTTGTGGAATAGTAGACGTGTTATGAAGCCAATTCTTTTCAGTCTTTTAGCTCTGGTTGGTTTTATATTTTTGTCAGCGTCTTATTGCTGTTTTTCAGTCATTTGCTTGGTCTGTAATTCTTTTAACAATTCAATTGTTACGCGCATGCTACCAGGGAAAATTGTGGGTAAAAATTGTTTTAGATGCTCTTTTCGGGAGTGTTAGATGTGTAAGGTTAATGATGATGGTGGTGATTGTAGCCTTTTACTGTTTAGTATTATCATTTCCATGGCGTCCTTTCAATTGGCTTTCTCACTGCTTTAACTGACTTCCTATAAGATGGTACTGAGAGCTTTGCTGATGCTTGAAGCCAATTTACTGCCGTTACTTTTGATACAGATGATGCAATTAACATTGATTTACTCTTAATGTTCAAGGTGATACACCTTGAACTTTTTGTTGAGCTCAAATTGATTAATGCTTGATGTTGTGAGCTTAGCCTTAGCAACCATCATTCTCCAAATGATCATCATCTGTTCTGCATCAAAATTACTGCTGCTAATCTATGATCCTGAAATCATTTAGCGTAATTATTAGCAATCCCAATCTTATGTTTGTCAACAAGTTAGGCTCACATACACCTTGGGCTTTTGAGATCAACAATCTCGCACATTGTTATAATGACAATGCTGAGTGACCTCTCATCTTAAAATAGCTCTAACACTAAAATTTAACTATGAAAATTCTAACTGCTTTTTTCTGTTTGAATTATGTAATAAATGCACCCTCGAGTTTATGTATATAATTTAACATTAAATCCAACATGCATAATTATCTTTTTAATAATATAAAAAACGATCAGCAATATAAAGGGAATGAATATATATAGTAATTCAAAATATGTAAACGATTAAACATTAATTCGTTAGGCAAGTTTGAGCATGAAACTATTACTAGAGCATGTGAATGCATTTCATTAAATAATGCTTATGGTATAAATAAGTTTGCATTGACATTTCACAGACATACATGAATTAAAATCATCCTAGAGCCATTCACACTAAGATTAAAAGCTGTAATTAAGAGTTAAAGTGCATAACATGAGCTATGGATCTCATAGTTTATCTCTAAATAGCTCGAGAAAGGTTTGTGTTCCATTATAAACTCAAGTCATTAG